GATTGTAGTTGACACATAAAAGCTTTATCGTATCTTACTGAGGAATTTATTATGTTTAAGAAAGTGTCCCTTGCTTTTAGACAAGCACTTTCAATAAACAGTTTTAGGTATTGCATTTACTTGAAAACAGTAAAGATGTTATAAATATCTTTGTCTAGTGTATTGAAGTGACGTACAAGTCCAAGAATGAAGAAGTAAGACTTAAAAGGGAATCTGATAAGTTGTTTAAAGTATGTTTATGCTATAAAGCTTCTCAATCTGACAAAATATCTCAACTTGTTGTCTAACAAACTCAAGAATATAGAGCAATTAGTACCAGGATCCTCTTCTTTTAAGAACGCATATTTTAATACAAACTTACAACTGATGTTGTTTAAACTTCTTAGCAAGATACATAACCAGTGCGTTAAATAACAACGAACATAACGTTTCTTCTGTCCCGAATTGCCTTTTTAGAACATTTAGAAAATGAACCAGTATATTTTGATTAATAAATCTGGCAATACTAACCAAAATATCATTTTGGTTAAAACACTATGACATATTGCTGCATAATGACTTCCGCTGCTCTTCTTAATTCCCTTTTTTTCGAGAACTATTTTATTAGTTAATCATCGACATTTGTAAACTCTAACAGACAACTTTTTAAGCTTAAGAGCATCTGTGAAATGATGGCATTTACAATCTCCCCATTAAATGTGTGGAAATATAACATGCATCATTGAAGGTTTCTCTCACGAAATAACTTCTATAACACAGCATAAGTTGGTCACCTAATATATGAATAGTATTTAAAGTCTCTCTCAGGACAATAAGAGTGGGAAGGTGTGATCAGGTTGCGTTTGATCTATTGTATAAACGATTCCATCACCACCAGGACACTTCCCTGCCTCTTACAACACCAAATGAGCAGCATGAACTTGGTGCAACTGACCAAGGCTGGGATTATACTGACGAGACTGATACAACGGATTAAATGATAATACAGTATATTTCTTGTGGTATTGGAAAATTACATGTATTGAGATAGCATTTCCATACCCTTGTTGGAAAAAGCACGTGTAGCTTTGTGCTTAACAACAAGAAAACAAACATTGTAACTACTTAAGTTTGGTTAACACAAAAAATATATCAAAATTAGCATATAGGTTCACAGACCTTTGTGTTTTCTATTTCTAGAATTATGTGATGTATTAAAAACGTAATATCTTTTTAGAGATTTATTATATTTCTTGACACTGATATCGGATATGGGAACTTCAATGACATATATTTTCTGATATTGCATCACACACACACCAAGGACATTGTAACTCGTAGAGAACAATTGATAATTTCCTTCTTTTCGCCTAGTTCCCTTTTAACACCGTCTTCCGAAGATGGAAAATGAAATTAGTTCCTTATATAAATGAATATTTCTTTTTACATGTCCAACAGTGTTCAAAATCTCACAAATATGACGTATACTTTATATATTTTGATATTATAACCAATATATTTATCAAACCTGCTTTTCCACAAAATTATCTTCACAACATTACGTTTACATTCATTTAACTGTCAGATGAAGACAACTAGAAATCCTTACATGTGCTTGCAGTTCTGTAGTTGCATTGGAAATATAGTAAAGTTAATAAAAACATTTTTAATGAAAAAACTGACATGGAAATATTTACCAAGTTATACATTTATGACAGTATCTATATTTTCATAAGCTATAATCACTAATTGGTACTTAGAATTCACACTGTTGGCATTTGCTTCTCATTCTGAATGACATATTACCTCAGAGGTACTGAAACTTCTTCATAAAGCTTTTCCGCTAAATGTGTTTGAGCGTTGGATTTATTCAACCTAGTCTTTTCCCATTCGCTCCGAAGTATAGTATTGTCAACAATAATACCAGAAGCTAAACAGAAATATTGATTTTTTACTATTCTATATTTTATAATTTTGGCCTCAGTGATTTTATTGGTTAAATAAATGTATTTACATTTACTTTTCTCCCCCTCCCCTCAAGCATCTGAACTTGTTTTATCCAGTTAGTAAAAATATCCCAAATGATTCCAACTCTAAAATTCTTTTTTCAGTTCAGCCCACCAAAGATCAATATTAAAATTTACAAATTTCTTTATAAAAAAGGGATCTTTGTTAAACATAATTACATAAGTCAATAAGAATTTGACAATGTAGCTGTAATATATCCGTGATATTACAACAAAATAAGCTTGCTAATTGCGTATCAGTAATATATCCGTGATATTACAACAAAATACGCTTGCTAATTGTGCATCAGTAATATATCCGTGATATTACAACAAAATAACAATTACGTTAACTGGACATGCTAGAACATATAACCATTCATAATTGATATGAAGAACGTTTATTTGGCATGCTAGAACATATAACCACCCATAACTGATGTGAAAACCGTTTACTGAACATGTTGGAACATGTAACCATTGATAATTGATGTGAAAACCGTTTACTGAACATGTTGGAACATGTAACCATCCATAACTGATGTGAATAACGTTTACTGAACATGTTGGAACATGTAACCATTGATAATTGATGTAAAAACCGTTTAATGAACATGTTGGAACATATAATCATTCATGATTGATATTAATAATATTTACTAAACATGCTAGAAAGTATAACTGTTAGTAATTGAGATGAATATTTATTTAGAACTACTGAACACTAAATAATTTTTTACAGATTCTTACTATTATACAAAACCCTAATATTTATTCATATTGTTACGGACTATTTTGTCTCTGTTAAAGAAATAATTCAATAATCAAATTCAGATTATAAGTATAGACGTTTTTATCCCAAACATATATAAATACTCATACATATAAATGATGTGCAGAGGAAAGAGTGTTCAAATAAACATCTACGTATCTCACTGTCTTATACTTATGTTTAATGTTAAACTCTGACTATATTATATTGAAATATTTACAAGAAAGGTTCGATTTTGAAGTAAGAAAACATTCGTTTGTCAATATTTATAAAATTGTTATTAGAAGTATTACTGAACTTATAATACAACTTGTAATGGATAACACGAATCCTATTAAATAACTTCTTTGTTAGATTCAACGCGAAAGTGAGAAAGCTATCAATTCAGTTATTGGTACAAAATGTAATTTGATCTCTAATGTTATCCCACCAAGTTCATATTGGATTTGATGTGTTAAAATAAGTTTCAAATAACAATATTCGGCTTACAGCTTACATTTAATGAAAAACTCACAAAGGATACAATAGAAAATCTTATTAGATACAAAATGATTTCCAGAAAAGACGTTCATTTTAGTCGGGTAATAACATATTACTCTATTTTGTGAAGAATACGAACTTAGTTTTGTATTTTTTTTACAATCTTCCAGGTTGAATAGTATTATGTTAATAAAAAAATAACACAAAAATTATTTTTACAAAATGGTTGATAGGAACCATACGTTCAGGAAATCTATATTGGCTCTTTCATTGGCTAAGATACTAATCTGTTATCAACATTTGGGATCCAAAAAATTGAGGTCAGATGTTTTAACTAAATTGGCATTATTAATTCAAGTAAGAAAATTTAGCATGAAATGACATTATACTTGTTATAAATATATATATATATATATAGTTATTTTCAATTTAAATAACAGCAAAAATAAAAAGTTTAACTTTGATTTTACTTGAAATGGTTTCTTAATGTGAGTAAATATATAATCGCAAAAATATATTATTTCATAATTTTGTTCTTAAACGCAAAGTTGTACAATTGGCTATCTGTGCAGTATCCACCACGGGTATCAAAGCTCGAATTTCAGCGTTATAAGATCCCATACTTACTGCTGACCCACTGTATGACTCGTGATTTTGATTTAGCTATTGAATGTTCAGTATTTGCTAGATTAATGCATTCTTATATCTATATAAAAGTCTGATTGGAATTGATTCCCCTGACAGTCAGGGATAAGTTTACGGATTTCTAATTCGAAAATCCTGTGTTCGATTCTCAGTTGTGGACAGAGCACTAAAACAATGACTAAAACTGTGACTGTTTAATTTACATTTAATTGAAGAGATTCTCTCCGATATATTTTTATCAATCGAACTTATGCTATCTTCTTTTCTTTACATTATCACAAACTGAAGATGTTACAGAATTTCGCTCATATTCTGGCTAACAACTTGTTCTCTTAGTTTACTGACAAGAGGTTCCAAGTGAAGATGTTGCAGAAGTTCGCTCATCTTCTGGCTAGGAACTTATTCTCTTTACTTGCTGACAAGAGGTTCTAAGTGAACATGTTGCAGAAGTTCGCTCATCTTCTGACTAACAACTTGTTCTCTTAGCTTACTTACAAGAGGTTCTAAGTGAATATGTTGCAGAAGTTCGCTCATCTTCTGACAACTTGTTCTCTTAGCTTACTTACAAGAGGTTCTAAGTGAAGATGTTGCAGAAGTTCGCTCATCTTCTGGCTAGGAACTTATTCTCTTAGCTTACTGACAAGAGGTTCTAAGTGAATATGTTCCAGAATTTCACTCATCTTCTGACTAACAACTTGTTCTCTTAGCTTGCTGACAAGAGGTTCTAAGTAAATATGTTGCAGAAGTTCGCTCATCTTCTGACTAACAACTTGTTCTCTTAGCTTGCTGACAAGAGGTTCTAAGTGAATATGTTGCAGAAGTTCGCTCATCTTCTGACTAAGAACTTGTTCTCTTAGTTTACTGACGAGAGGTTCTAAGTGAAGATGTTCCAGAATTTCACTCATCTTCTGACTAACAACTTGTTCTCTTTACTTGCTGACAAGAGGTCCTAAGTGAATATGTTGCAGAAGTTCGCTCATCTTCTGGCTAGGAACTTATTCTCGTAGCTTACTTACAAGAGGTTCTAAGTGGAATTCTTCCCGGAATGTAGAATGGCGCGGAAAAACTGGAGGTAGGCACAGCATAACATTTGTTTGGATAGCACTTACTAGTAATACTGGTGTTGTAGGTTTCAACTTTACTGTGTTCTTTCATTCGACTGTAGAGCCTGCATTCGTTAATCAACTGAGTACTGTTAAATATCACAAATGTGTCATCAAATATCTCTGGTAATACGCAGGCTTGAAAGGTTCATGACACAATTGTAAGCAACCTTTTTCTTAGAAGCACAAGAAAAATGGAAACGAACAGCAACCCCTAGGTATGAAGGTCTTTGAAATATCTTACTTTCAAGTAATATAATATGCATTTTCTGGGTTCAAAATACAGATACTAGATAATCTAATTTAAGAAAGGCATCATTGATAGATGTTTCAAGTATTATCAGGTGGTCATGCAAATCTCTGGAAAGGTTATTTGATTCATGGAAATAGCCAATTCTCTTCTTCAGCACTCTCTAAATACAGCTATTTAAGGCATTTCTCCTATAATTACAGGGTCTGGTGGAATCCTTTCATATGATAGCTCGTTGCAAAAAAATTCTTACAAGATACGATAAAAAGCACAGGATCAAATGAGGCAGGAGAGAGAATATTTAGAACCGAAAAAAAAGAGAAAACTTCACAAGCAGAACCTTTCGTGGGATATCCCATCACCATTAAGAGGAGTTCACATTAAGAGAGAACAACCTATAAATATGTTTTAGCAGTATTTCGGTGTAACCAAAGAGTTTTTGTGTGGAGTTTACCACTAAATAATCACAATTGCTATATGATCGTAAAGTACACCTTATCATAAGACTTGATTAAAATACTGCTGTATTTAAATCACTAATGCAAGTGTGTTTATGATTATTTTCTTCAGAAAATAATTGTTTAGTTCGTTGGATTTCGCACAAAGCTACACGACGGCCATCTGCATTAACTGTTCCTAATATTTAAATGATAGACTAGAGGGAAGGCAGCTAGTCCTCACCACCAATATCCGGGCACCAAAGAGCGCAGAAAGATTTTTTTGGTGGTAACGGGACGCAAACCACGGAAGTTCAGCTCCATAATCCGGCACGCTATCTATTGTGCTCTATTGTGCTATGCCAGGTCCATCAAATAAGAAAGTTTAATGAGTTTTGCAGAATCTTAAAATAAAACACATGAAAATAAAATTTAAAGTTATTTGGATTGAAGGAAGTTAATTTTGTGTTTAGACTAGCAGACATACCCGGATGATAATTCAGCAATATAAGGGAGGAATGAAAAGTGGGCATGTCGGAAATGAAAGAGAAAAAATAAATATTGAATTTTCACCTTTAATGTCTCGCTCTAAATGTGCATTATAATACGTATTACAATAAGATCAAGTCGTGCACTTAGCAATTAGCCATGTGACGGATTTACTATCATGTATCTATTTTAATATCGATGTTGAATTTATATTTAGAAATGTACATAACTTATACTGTTAAATCTGTATTGCGAGATTCCCGCCTATTCATTTAAGTTATAGAAAATTCTCCAGTGTAAGAATCAACAATATATGTGTGTACTTAAACACTAGTGTGTCGTTAGTATTGATTCGTAAGCTGAAATTTCGAGAAACTCTACTCACGTCTATAAATATAACCAACGAAATGCGCCAAATGACAGTATATATTATTGGTTAGCTATAGTTGGTATACTATAAACCTCGGAAGCTGTAATTGTGATTAACACTTATTAATCGGGAAACTTCAGATATTTGACAAGGATCATTTATAAATTTCAAACATTACAAATTATTTAACTCCAGTGGATTCACATCGGACATTAACACTTTTACGAAGACATTATATAACTTCAGCGGAAAATACTTGACCGGTAATCGGCGTGTGAACAGCGAGGACCACAGAGCTAGCTAGCTCCCTGTTAAGTCAATTGCACAGCAAAGACCACAGACCTAGCTCCCTGTTAAGTGAATTGCACAGCGAGGACCACAGAGCTAGCTAGCTCCCTGTTAAGTGAATTGCATCCACATAAACTCAAAATTAATTCACTCATCGCGAACCCTCGATAAGTCATCAAAGAAGTTCCAGACCAGAAAGAAGACTCAATATTGTTTGTAAATTTGTAAATCTTTTGTACGTAGATCATTATTTGTAATAACTGTTATTGTAAATTGTATTATTGTTTGAATATTAAAAAAGAAACTGTGTTTGTTAATCTTATTGGCAAATATCATAAATTGGATACATAAGACATTTAGATAGCTACTAAATCTAAATTACAATTTAACTCAGTTTTAGGTTATTTGAAATTTTAATAGGTAATATCCATTTCCTGTGGGCCCGCAACAACTGTTCATATCAAAATTAAGTTCGGAGAGTGGGGGTTACTATTTTAGTCAATTTTTTACCAAACTGTGGAAAAAGACATCGAGCAGTTAGAGAGATAAAATAGCATTCATTATTATAAGATACCTTTTCTGAACTGTTTTGCGTCACATTCTACAGGTTTCAGGGACACTTTGCGTTGTAGTTCATTGTGCTATCAAAACTCTTAAATCTATGTCACTTTCTTCCAAAACTTTCATGAAATATATTATGGAAGATTATTTAAGTTCTACCACCTAAATGTGAATCAGCGATTGGCCAGCATTTACTAGTGAACCCGACTTGCGCTGACAACTACGCGGATAGCAGGTTTGAAATTATTGCAAATGGTCGGGTGACCTTTCATCATAGGTCTGTGACATTTTCTGATTTGCTAGAGAACACGCCAATCAGTGATTGCTTTCCCGGCTCACGTTGATCTGACTCATTTTATAATCTGTACTATTTCCTATAGATCATTTTCCAGACAGTTCTGCTATGATTAGCAGATATTTCTTTTGCAACATCTCAACCAACAATTGGTCCAGTTATAATGTTGGAGACGGCTTGAATGGGTAATGAAGAAAAACTTTAATATAAGTTTAACATAACTGCAAATGTACATGATGATGACAAAACCTTGTCGAAACGTTGCACATTTGCTGTTGGAGACGGCTTGAATGGGTAATGAAGAAAAACGTTAATATAAGTTTAACATAACTGCAAATGTACATGATGATGACAAAACCTTGTCGAAACGTTGCACATTTGCTGTTGGAGACGACTTGAATGGGTAATGAAGAAAAACTTTAATATAAGTTTAACATAAACAGCAAATGTACATGATGATGACAAATCCTTGGCGAAACGTTGCACATTTACTGTTATGTTAAACTTATATTAAAGTTTTTCTTCATTACCCATTCAAGCCGTCTCCAACCATTATTAGTCTCAAAGTGGGTTCCTCGTCATCGAAATTGGTCCAGTTATCAACGCTATTTTCAAGTTTTGAACAACTCGACTCTCAAGATCTACATATCTACATGTGCCGATGTTTCCGTTTATCAACGTTATATTTTAAGATCTGTGCAAGAACACAGCTAACATATGTTTCCGTATATAAAAGTTATCTTCATGTTTTGTATAACGAAAGACCTTTTCAAGTATTTAAGTTTTGTTTTTTATTTAACTTCCCTATGTTCCTACTGTGGTATGTACATTATACACGATGAATATTCTTGTGTTGCCAAAATAAAAATACAAAATTCACACATGCAAACATTTGTCGGACGTGTAGTATAAGCAACATGCAGATTACCAACTTTGGAATGAAGGACTCCCATTCTTCAGTTGTTCACACATTGTTATAGATCACCCCTTTTTGGTGTTTCTGAACTCTTGAACGGAAGGCGTCAGTGGAGAATTGCTTAGGCCTGTATAAATGTGTTCTCTAATGACATAAGACATTTATGGGCTTAAAATTCTTTAAAAAAAATCACGTTGTTTGCTAGACGCAGTTCATATTGAAACGCTCATGCTGTACTCTTTAATGATTAGAAGAACTGACAACAGATTTTTTAACTCTTTAACAGCTGACAGTGCAGAGTGTGTTCAATAGATTATCGTAGTTCGTACCTTAAACCTTCCGATCCGCAGCAAGGCACGCTTAACTAGTAAGCCACCCTGGCGATAATTGAACTCTAAAAATAAGTTTTATTTATACCATTGGTATAACTTACTTTATGATAGAGGTTATGAGCAGTTGTTAAAGAGGGTAAATTGATGCATCATTAAAGGAATTAAAATGTATATATTTCCATATCATTTCCTAACGAAAACACTTTACTTTCATTAATGTTGGGCAATTTTGTCTTTTATTTTTAAGTCGAAAGGCTGACATCTTAATGCGTAGGCATCAATTCTCTATAAAATTTGGAAAGATACAAATACATAATTCAAAGCAAAAATAATCAAAGTTATGTAAGTAAATTAGTTAAATGTAGATAATTGCGAAGTAAAAAGCGTAAGAACAAATAGGCAGAGACAGTTTGTATTCAGTGCTATATTAATGTTTATGTTTATGGTTATGTCCGTTTGTTTTCTATTTTTCGGTATTGTTAACTTCACATGTAACTTATTACGCAATATTTGACGCTGCAAATGTAATTCTGACAAAAATTTACTGCAATAATGAGTTGAGAAACGAACAATACATGCATATGTTCAAACCATTTGACAACTTACTCTTGTATTATAAAGATATATATAATAGTACAAGTATTCTCGCGTAAATACGACACATTCAGTACATATAATTAGGGAGGATTTTAACTTCTGAGTTCAAAAGTTATATATGAGGTAATTAATGTTCGCAGGGAATTGAAATACTGAAAACAGCAAAAATATTTTGAAAATGGTGAAAACAAACGCACCAGTCAAGAAATCACGTCACGCAAGATAATACTGAAGATACTTAAATCAAAAATATTGTATTTCATTTTATCATATCAAAGTGGTTTGTTCAAAATAAAAAAAAAATCGTGCTGTTATAGTATAATCTTTAATTACATAAGGCTAATTGGTTTCAACTGTCAAGGGATCTGGGCTAGGCGTGTTAAGTAGAAGTGTATTCTTACTTATGACAAATAAAACTCGAAACGTCGCTTGAGTTACAAGCCTTCAGGATTCACGTCCATATTTTTGAACTTTAGGCTAAAGGAAATGCA